AGTTATATATATATATATATATATATATATATATATATATATATATATATATATAATGCCAATTTAAGTACTATCGACTCCTAGAACTTTTTTTTGTCATCCATATTCTCCATTGCAGTGCAGATACAGAGGCATGACTAGGTGGGAAACAAATATAAAAATACAACAAGAATATTGAATCGCATTGTGGAAGCGGTGAAAACCAGATGTTGTAAGTCTTCTTCATCGTCGACCATTGAACAACATCCACCGTCTATTACAGTTATATTCCTGATCAAATTGCGAATTGGATAATAGAGAGAATGGAATATTTTCCACAGCCGTATTGTTTGTTAGGCAGTTTTAGTTTTCTGTTATTCTTTCATTTCTTTATTCTTTTCTCTTCCTACACGTGTATATATACAGGCTTTCATTTGGTGAATGGATACACAGAAAATTCAGGTCGATTCTCTCTCTCTGTTTTCTATTCCGGAAACAGAGAATTGAAATTTTCTCAGGTGAAACCGTCAACCACATTTTATGTAGTATCGCCACTATCTGCCACCTTCTTAACTATTATCCCAAAACTACGCCCTTAGCCTTCGGGTTGCCAATCATCATGCTTTTGATAGGATTGGCGTCTTGTACCCTCGGGCTACTTAATCTGTAAGTGCATCACACACTATTTTCCATATTTGATTATGTTTTTCTAATTATTTTGATTTTGTTTGAATGATAATATTTCTATGCGAATCATTTTTTCAGTCATCAATATTTTGCCTTTTGTAAAGGTATTTGCTCATCGTAATGGATATGGTTTGGCGAATTATTACAGTTAATGGTTCCACGCTGCATGCTTCCAAAGAGTAATATAATATGCCACAAAAAAAAAAAAGATTTATTCGTCTGGATTAAAAAAGAAGGGCAGTTATAAATAGACAATGTGACATGATAAAAATGAGTAATTTTAACAAGCACCTAGGAAACATGAGGTGGAAGGGGAAGCATATTAGGGTTTTCAAATGGTCCTGTTATAAAAGTCCTCGTACACTCCTAGTTCGTTGCTCACAAGTCTGTCTCATCGTAGGAACAGCGCAGGCAAAACTACATCGGAGGATCGAAAATGGAGCAAACTTTCATCATGATCAAGCCCATGGTGTCCAGAGGGGCCTTGTACGTGTTTTCACCCTTCTCGTCTCCATATATTTTCTTGTTAATTACTTGTTTCATCCTTTTCGAATTCTTTATATATAATTCTAAGTCGAATATTTGATGACACGTATAGATTAACATAATTTTGTGTAATATATATTGTATTTTATGAGATTTATATGTTTAAATGCTCTATTTTGTACAATTTTATTTCGATTTCGATGTTTTCATATTTGGTAGTAAAGAACGCAAATCGTGTTTTCACGTGAATCAAACGAAAACAAATAAACGCATCTAAAAAAATATAAATAAAAATAATAAATAATTAAAAACAAAGCTGTTCGATCGTTTTAAATATATGTATATATGTAAATATATATTATATATTATATGCATATATGTATATACGATAGTGCGAGTGATTGTGTATATATAATATATGTATATATGTAAATTATATATATATATATATATATATTAATAAATATATAAATATATGTATACTATATGTCTAATATTTATATATATATATATATATGTGTATGCGTATAAATTAGTATATGTATATATTATACAAATTATATAAAAATGTATGTATATGAATATATGCATGTGTATATCTCTGGGTATGTATATAATTATATACAGTGTGTATATATATGTAAGTATATATATTATATATTATATGCATATATGTGATGCGTGTCTATATATATAATATGTATATGATATGCATGTAAAAAATATCTACGTGACGCATATATGATATGTGTACATAACGCATATATATATTTATAAATATATATATATAGTATATACATGAATATCTATATATAATATATATTATACAAAGAAGAAAAAGACGTGATTAGCCGCCATCCACTTACTTGGTCCGACAAATTCTCCATGATTAACGCCACTCATGAGGAAAGGAAAGCGACAGCCATTTCTCTCATCTCTCTTATTAATCACAGACGATTCGACACAGAGGAGGCATTCAGAGACGGAGAGAGTGGACGAACGAAGAAAAATAAAAACGCATATAGATTCAGAGAGAGTCAGAGAGCAAGAATTCGGAGGAGCTCAGAAGCTGAGGAGGAAGAAGAAGTTGCATATATTCCTGAGTATTTCTTTTCTCTCTTTCTCAGTCTTATGAATTTCCATATGATTGTTGTTGTTATTATTCTTATATTTTCTATGATTTGTGAGTAATTCTTCCTGATTGTAGGTTAGAGATTTATTGGTGTGTAAAGATTTTGTGCGTTTAATATTTCTCGGTAAATTATGGATATTCGTGATTAGGTTTGAATTGGTGGATTTTAATGTTGCAAATTTTGTTGACCACTTGAAATATTGATTTTAAGATTTAAATTTATATAGAGATATAAAATTTGAATTCGGAACTCACTTATTCATTTAAGCGATTTTCGCATGTGAGAGATTTTTTTTTTTCGCATCGAGAGATGATTATATGACTTATGAATTATGATAGGGAGTTTAGTGCTCCTATGAGTTTTACTCTATTTTGAAACGAGAGGTCGGTAGTTTTTTTACTCTATTTTGAAACGAGAGGTAGTTTAAAATTCATAGGAGGTGAGAAAGAAGATTCGAGAGAATAATCTCTTCTATAGAAAGAGTTTGAATTCCAATCATAATTACTGAAATAAATTCATAGAAATGATTCTTATATAACCCATAAAATCCCGATACTTACAATGTCTTAATTAAATTGTGTTAAAATGGTTGATTTATATTTGTTTTAATTTGTATTTACATTTAATCACTATAATCACCTCTCAAAATTATTGTCCAGATCAAAACAAGTAGAACTCATAATTGTTATCGTTAATACTCATGTGTCCACTTATGATAGTTGTGTCTAGTAAATAGAATAAGATTATATCACACCTAAATCGACATAAAGATTGTGCGTAGTTTGAAATTCATTACGGATTTTGTACTGTTATCAGATTCCTGTGTTAGATTGATGGAAAGTGGAACCATACCGTGTTAGATTCGCTCATTTAGGGAGTCTTTTAGTTTTCAATGCCTCTTTGGCTCAACTCAACAAATACCCAGTCAGCCGTCGTCGATGCTTTGAATGGTCTTACCACCACCACCACCAGTTCACCAAAATTTGGGTTCATTCCCATCTTTTTGTTTGTTCTATTATCGATTATGCTCTATATGATTAAAATGAAGTTTACCGTACTTACAAGCACTTTATAATATGGTCTTTCAGGTTGGTGAAATCATCAGCAGGTTTGAGAAGGGTTTCATTCTGAAAGGTAATGTTATTTGTTGTTGTCTAAACCCTTATAACGTTAATTGATATTGTGGCTGAACGTGGATGATGGTGGTAAGAGTAGGATATGATGAGAGTGTGCCTATGCTCATCTCTTTCATCAACATTTTGAGCCTACCTATCCATAATGGAAGGGACCACTTACCCATTTACATAAGGAGAAAGAGATCGATCAATTTCAAGTTACTTGCTGCAGTCAGACTTCTCTAGCAAGTTTTACTTTTTGATTACCCCATCCGTTTGTGGTTGATCATTTGTCAATCATTTGTTTAGCTAATTCATAGATTTCCTTCTGATGCTTACGCCCCTCTCTGCGGGGTTTGATTGTGTATTGTCGTTTGACTAGCGGCCTTTTTGGCCGGTTAATCCGTTCTTTATGCCCTATCGTTAGCTATTTTTGTCTCCTGCTCTCTGGGTTTCTGTTTCATTTTGTCGTTTGGCTCGGCTGTGCTTCCCACTACTTTACTTCCTTTACTGTAAATGCTCACATGGTGGAACTTGAATTCACTTTCTATCGAAGAAGGCGCTTATTGCTTATTGTCATTTGTTAGTGCCTTAGTGGGCATTTTGACAGGCTGTTGCCCATCTGTCCCTTCACGTATATTCATATTGACATATTCCAATAGTAGCGTGTAGCATTACTAATTCACATTCCATTAAACAGAGACTTTCTTTGATTGGTTCAGTAACCGGTACTGGATCTCTTTGTCGATAGTCCTTTGTTGAGTGGTTCTAGTTGCAATCACAGGTTTGACGCTGGAAACCGTGGACCACCATTTAGCTGAGAGGCTCTACCAGGACTTGTCTGCGAAGCCGTTCTTCAACGGTCTTGTTGATTACATTATCTCTGGCCCTGTTGTTGCAATGGTCTGGGAGGGGAAGAACATTGTTGCTACGGGCAGAAAGATGATTGGAGCGACAAACCCAGCAGCATCCGAGCCTGGAACGATCTGTGGTGATTTTGCAATTGATCAAGAGTTGAAATCTTTCCCAGAATCATATGTTTTGAGAAGAGTTTGCTGACTGAAAAGAGAGTGATTTTGGGTTGCAGGAATGTAATCCACGGTAGTGACTCGGTGGAGAGTGCTAACAAGGAAATTGCTCTTTGGTTCCCGGATGGACCTGTGAACAGGCAGAGCAGCATTCACTCTTGGATCTACGAGTGAAAGCCCTGGTTAACTCGGCCTGTATCGGTCTCAACATTCTTATCATTGGGTTGGATCTTATAAAGTTCTGAGTTTTTTCCTTCAGGCGAGTATATTTTATTCTTGGCTTAAAACATAGTTACCATGTGTTTTGAACTGGGTCTTTGCAGAGACCAAAGACAGACATCAACTTTCGACAATGTCTGCCTTTGGTCTTTCCACCACAGGCATGCATCAGTCTATCGTGTACCAAATTGTTAAAGCCGATTCATTTCCCTCTAATCTCAGCATGCGACAATATTAAAGCCATGCACAAATGAGATGGCCCAATAACATCATCGAGCCCCACAGGGTTAACAAACAAGAAGCCGATAAACTGATGCCTCAAATGACCACTCATTGATCAATACCATTGGCTACATGATCATAAAACGAAACAATGACAAAAGGAAGAGGTATGTCACTCAACATTGAAATTTAACCAGACACATGCATCACATTGCAGAAAAAAAAAAAAACTCTAAACTTCCACTTGAAGACCAGAGACAAGCCTCACAAAGTCATCAGAATCTGGAGGAAGAACCCATTTCAAATGTACCACTGATTTCGTTTCTAAATGGGCTTGATTTTGAAGTGCAGCGAGATGAGGGAAAACACAAGACATTTCAAGTCCTGCAATCACATAAGATTCCTATGAGAACCATAAGCATGTAAAATGGCAAGGAGCGTTCAAATACAATACAAAAACAATAATCAGAGCAGTATCAACGAACAATGAGAACAGCCCCACAAATCCAACACCATAACTCCGGGTAATACTAACTGCCAAATCAGCTAACACGTGACACCATTTTCTTTTCCATCTGCCAGGACATGTACTATATGATCAGCCAGAGGCTGACTGTATCTGCATCGGTTTATTTGTTTGAGAATATGATTTCATGAATAAAAGCCTATATCCTAAATGCACCTTACACTCAGCTGCCAAGTAGGGATTTAGGTAAGACAGGAAAACTTGGCATAATTTCTCTCTGACATATGAGACCTTCACTTATTGCATAAATTGTGCACATGGACCACGATTTTAGTTAACAGGAAAGAGAGAGAGAGAGAGAGAGAGAGAGAGAGAGAGAGAGAGAGAGAGAGCACAATGCATATATAGGCCGACCTGAACAAGATAATAGAAGATGCGAAGTCCTTCAGGATCATTACTGCTCTGGACATCAACCAGGGATCCAATTTTTGAGGTAGTGAAGGAGATATGTTCATTTCCCATCACGATCTCGAGCTCTTGCCTCCCAACACGGTCAGGTTCCGGCCAGTTGTTATCATCTTCTTTCATAATCTAACCATGAAAAAAAATCCTTATATATAGTAGGAAAAGAAGAACCATGACGACATTAATCAAGACGCACAACTACAGGGACAAATATCTAATGAGCAAAGATCCAACCTCTCTCACAAATTAATAGGTTAACTACAAAGTCAGGGATGAAGGAAAATATAACCCTATAATTAAGTGAGTTTAGAACGATTAGACAAGAGTTAACTTGATCTGTAACATGGCAGATACAGAAGAGAAAACATGTGAGTGTCAACCAGAAGGACAAGGAGTTTATCACAAATCTCGCCAACCGTACCCGGATCTCATGAAAAATAAAAACCCCAATCTGAGCAAAACGCAGCAAAACAATCAGGAAATGCCTAATCGAGACTAGAAACAAAGTTGCAGGGTAACGCGAATTAAGATTAGTAATATGGGAGAAAAAGACCTCGCTCTCGGCGACGATACGCTTGCACTCCTTGAGAACGGCGGGGGTGAGGAAGACCTCTTTTCTGATCATGGTGTCGTTCTTGTAGTTGGAGTTATTAGCATAACGGAGCTTACCGTCGGGTCTAAATTCGAACTCCAGGAACTCGTGCCCGAATTTCCCCTTGTGTCCGACATAATATCTCAGGTAGAACTCTTCCTTCCCCCCTTCCGAAGCCATCTCTCTATTCTGCAAGCTTCTTCCCCCCTAAATGGGGTTTAACCCTAATAAACCACTTGGGTCGCAGCAATTTCAGGGTACATCACCGAAAAAAAAAAAATAATTTGCGACCTTATTACGACTAATATATAACTAATATACAACTAAAATAAGAGCATGGCCCATTAATTTGGGCTGAATTCTCTGGCCCGTTAGTTCTCTCTTTCTCTCTGCCGCTGAACGCTTGCTGTGCCTGCTTCGGCGCCCTCGATCAGATTCGATGCCGATGCCGAATTCTTCCAAGTTTCTGCAATTATATGGTAATTTCACTTCAAGTAGGACTTGTTTGTGGGTTAAAGGATCTGGATTAATGGGAAAATGTTTTCAAATTTGCTAGTTCGTGGGTGGATAGCAGGATATGATCTGATTCTGTGGTCTATAGCAGAATAACACCTTGGTGAGAAAAGAATAGGTTGTGTAAGAGCCTTGAAATGTTGTTTGAGTGCAGGAAAAAGAAGCCAAAATATACGTCCATGAGAAGAGGGAGAGGAAGAATGCAATGCAAAAGGAATGGCCGGGATGTGTTTGACTTGAGTGGGCTTTTCCATCGATGAAATGGTACAGTAGAAGTGTAAGAGGCCACTTCCTCGCTCTTCAGGTCCCTTTTTCTTCTCTCTCTCTCTCTCTCTGTTAATCATTTTGTATGCTCACTTCTACTGTACCATTGTCTTCTCCTTAGGTCTATGACTGGATGAGTAACTGAGGCGAAAGGTTCTGCTTGTCTGCCAGTGATTCCGCAATTTAGCTCGACCTTATTGGCAAAATGCGTGGCATTTCATCCGCTGAAGAATTTTTGCTCCGACTCCCTGACAATTTTAACGGCAGGAGGGTTTATGTCAGGGCTAAGTCCAGAGAGAAAGCTGAGGATCAAGGATCCAGTGAGAACCGTAAACCCTGTGAATCTCAAGGATCCATTGAGAAAATGGAACAAGAGTATCAAATGAAGTCAGACATAGTCACCAATCCTAACTGGACCACTTCCAGTATCATGCTACCATGTATATTAAGATGCGAAACCGAGAAAGCTGAAGATGCATTGAGGACGGTCGAAGCAAGGATTAAAAGTCAGTATTGGATATCCTACCATACCACTACCTCTCGAGTCTGTACGGCAGCATCGGCAATAGGAAAGAACTGAACCAGATGTTGAATGTCTACAAATCTGTTTTCCCAGTGTTCCCGACTTGGGTTACCGTGCCTTGATCTCTGGTGTGAACCAGAGATATTGAGGGAGCCGAGAAAGTATATGAGGAATGGCTTCCAGTCAAGTTATCTTGCGACCCCAGGATTGCAAATCTTCTCATCAATGCATATGTAAAGAACTACCAAGTACAACGGAGGGTTTTCTCGACCATGTGATTGAAGTGGGAGGAAAAGTAAGGGAGATTCTTGCTGAAGGACATACCACAGAGGGGATGATTTCAGATGCTTTGGCGTTTCTGAAAGAAGATTTTGTGGCGAAGGATCAAATAATTGGAGGCCAAAGGCGTCAATGCTGTCTAGCTAAGAAGAATCCGATTTTCCTAGTAAAGAAGCCATTAGGTGGTTGCTGAAGTAATCTGAGCATCTTGGATAGAAATTTTATGTGGCTCTTATTGGTTTGTCAACTGCGGCTGACATAGTATAAGGACCAGCCATGGGTAGAGGTGCAACAAAGGGGAACCTCGAGAACAATGGAAATCATGGTGACGGGGCCAATGAGCCTCTAAATGAGCTGGATTTGTGATTACTTATTAAGGCAAAGGGGTTGTGGATATAAACTACCTATGGGGCTCAAGCAATCTGACGATGATAATCAGCAATGATGAACTGAGAAAAGCAGAGATATTATGCTCGAGTTTGCAAGGGAGGTGAAATGCAGACCACACTTAGGGATTACTGTGAGTCTGTCTTATTACCTGTCTTAATGTTTTTACTTACATTTTGAATGATAATTTTGTTAGAACTCGGTGTAGGTATTGGTGTATTGGGGCTTGAGCAGCCACTTATTATGAATCCAGAGAGATTTAGAACTGTGTCTCGTCCGTGCTGATGAGTGGGGTGAACAAACTAGTTTCAGACTCGGAAACTCATTTGCCTAATGTACATGGCTCAGAGATTTCAGTGGAGGCGGCTATCTCTTATGTTGCAGAACATGTGCGACTGTGCATTAGACATGTTTAACAAATAGACTGGTCATTGTTGGGGATTATAGTGCGTGTCGTTCCATGAACCCCAGCAATTGGCATGGGGAGTCCACCGGAATCTCAACTGTTTGGCCTTGTGGCGTGAAACCATTGCAGTTTTATAGCGTTTCCAGTCGCGGAGAACTGCTGTCAGGTCAGCGACCTTGGCGGGAATGTGACGGCAGCAGTTGGCGTGGACTGTGGTGACTGCCCCAAAATCGGGGCTATCTTGGCAGAACCCACTGAACTGAACGGTGTCTAGGAAGTTGACAGAGAGGCCAAGGGTGTCGAAGAATCCCGCGTCGAGGAGACTTTTGAGGACGTCTTGTTCCTTCATTCCGGTGGAGTTGTCCCTCATGCTGTACCATTTTTCGAAGAGGGAGATGGTCTTGTTGTTTGATCTTATGTGGTAGAAACCGGTGTTGATGAAATGACCAGCTCGGCTATCCACGCTTATCTGGAGATCCACGGTATCGTTATTGTTTAGCCGTGAGAAGGGGTTCCTCAGCCACATCACGTCCGTGTCCTACCAATGGTATATATACCAAATGACAGCGTGATGACAAATATGTTCGATCCAAAAAAATGTATACAATGTGCCCTTGCACTGTGCCTAGTGGTAACACTTACTAACATCAATGGGTGGTTGGTGTGGTGAGCAAACACATTAGGAAAAAAAGTCAACTCACTTGGTTTTGGTCCATATATAAACAAAATGGGTCATTTGGCTAATCTCGTCAACTATAGTGTGTAATACAAACCACTCCTGTTGTTTTACATTGCTAATAAGAACTCTACCCAGAAATAAAGAACTGCCTGTCCACAGGCTTCCACTTACGTTTCGTTATTTTAATTAGTGATCAAATCAAATAATATACTAGTAAACCCTATCCAAAACGTATATGAAAAAAACCCTAGTCCCAATAATAATAATAATAATTAAAGATGACGTACTGACCGTGAAAACAAAGCTGTAGCCGCGCCGAAGGACGTGGAGGAGGAAGAGAGTCCGCCTCCACATCATCTGAATGAAATCGGGGGACATGTAAACCTTCTCTCCGGAAAAATCGAGATGCTGTTGATCCGCGGACTCGAGCCTGTAGCAATGAAGCCTGAGGAACCTGCAGCGATCGTAGGCCGTCTGATCGACCGCGACCAACATGAGATGGTCGAGGAGGTGCCTCGTGTCTTCTCCTTCCCACAGGCTCTCGAGGAACAGATCGAGCATCGTGGAGGTTGATGAGCCGCTCTTTTCCACGTACGCCTTGTTGACGACTGCAATCACCACCGTTTTGTTGTTCCCGGAGGCCGCTCTCTGCAACGCTGCCTCCAAGTCATCAATAGTGGTCGTAGAACTGTGTTGGAGAGAAATGATGAGCGGATCACGTAACCAGAAGCAGAGGTAGAGGACGCCGGTGATGAGGAGTACGACGGCCGCTCCCACTTTGGCCGAGGAGTTGTTGGACAACGCCATTGCTTTTGTTGGTGACTCACGTCTATTCTCTCCCCCTCTTATTTATATATCTCTCTCTACGAAACCCATGTGTATTCACTCACGTCTCTTTATCTATATCTTCTATGCACCCATTTATTTATCTTCATATACGTACATAGATATACTATATTGATCGTCAATCTATGCACATATGGATATCTACGCGTTTCTTTTTTTATTTAGTGTTTAGATATCTGCTGCTTCTTTAAAAGGGAATTTAGGGTTTTAATATTTACCCTACAGCTTTAAATTCTTGTTTAGATATCTACAACTTTAAATTCGATTTGGCAAAGTTTTTTTAACTTTATATAGGATAACTATTAATATTTACCCTATCTTTCAGATTGTACTTAAAAGATAAATAAATATTCCCATTTTTTTTGGTTATGAATGTAATTCTGATATTTATCTTAAATTGGAATGTTTACAAAATACAGTTTACAAAAACACAGTCAGAAGTGGAAATCCCATGATCAAGTGGGCAAAAAGAAGAAAACTAAGGGTAATAGCGAGAGAATAATTAACACACAATTTAGGAACCGGTTAGAAAGTACCAATCTTGCAGTATGATATTGATGACACTTTGTTGCTCAATCTGTCTTTGACAACAGAATGTTTCTCAGCAGCCAGATGATGCAGATTCTCAACTGGTTGATCGTTCTTCTTTCACCCTGAAAAATTCTGCAATTCCGTTCCCATCAAACTTCATAGACTGTGGCTTGAACAAATAATTCCGCAATGACATTCATGTTACGAGATTGGTCCCTTTAGCTAGCATAATAATTAACCCTATATCTCGATCGGTACTGTAAGGGCACTCGAAAAATAAGTGTTGATGGCTTTCCGAAGCATTTTTGGATAAAATACATTGGGGATCAATCTGGATGCCCCAATTCAGCAAACGATCCTTTGTTAGGAGACGCCGAGTAATAATCTACCATTGGGTGAGGGAAAAACCTTGGAATGACTTCTTTGAACCAGATTAAGTCATGCCAAAGAACTTTCAGAGACGGAGTTCTGATTTGTTTCCAAGTTGAAGTTGTAGAGAATGATAGTTTGAACTTATCACCTTGTTGTCTAGCCATAAGTGCACATCATCACCATGATCAGGTGATGGAGGATCAATGGCTGTTAATCCTGCTTGGACAATCTCCAATCCATTGCAGTAGACTGGTGGCAGATTCCAATGTGAGTTGGTTGTAGCATCACAAACTTTGGCCGATTTAAGGATGTTTGATAATAGCGAACCACTTTCACTTGCAATTGAGATCAATGGATCTATATAGGCAACCAACAACCATACAAACCATATTTTTTTTCCCATTGCCGATTCGCTTTTGATGAAATGGTTTCGGCAAGTCTCTCATACTGAACAATATTTTAAAGTTCTAAGAGTGATTATTCAAACTTATTATTATCCTAACAAGAATTATAATCATTTGCAAACGATTTATTAAAACAAACAAATATTCAAACATATGTTAACTCTAGTTTGATGAATTTGGTGCGAAAATTCACTACAAAAAAACAGTTATATAGCGACGGAAAAATCCGTCGCAAATATAAAAGAAATCCGCCGCAATTAAGAATTTGCGACGGAATGCGACAGATTTATTTCCGTCGGTATAGCGCTGTCGCAAACGTATAACGGTCGTTAATCCGTCGCATTTTTGCGACGGAAAAAATCTGCGTTTTGCGACGGAAAGTGACGGATAAATCCGTCGCAAATTGCGACGGAATTTTTTCCGTCGCATTCCGTCGCAAATGTTTTAAAAAATTTTAAAAAAAATATAAAAGATTATATACTATATATACACATACATATATATATTTTCACATACACATACATTCATACACATACATTACACACATACAAATATACATACACATACATACATATATATACACATATTTTCATATACACAAACACACATACACATACATATATATATATACACATTTTCATATACACAAACACACATACACATTCACACATATACACATATATACACATACATAAATATATACTCATACACATATACATTTCACAAACACATACACATATATATTTCACAAACACATACACATACATATAAACACACACATATACACATATTCATATACACATACAATCACATATACATACACATACATATTCACATTCACATATATATACACATCCACATACATAAACACACACACATACACATTCACACATACATACACATTCACTTACACATATATAAACACACACATACACATATATATACACATTCACTTACACACACATACACATACATAAACACACACAAACACATCAAACACACATATATATATACATAAATACATATATATTACCTTATGGGAGAAACTTGGCGATCTTTGGAGAGATTTAGAAAAAAAATTGGCGATTTTATTTTATTTTTTCCGAAAATCTTTGAAGTCTGATGAAGAAGACGACTCGTGGTTTTATATTGTGTTTTGCGACGGAATTTTCCGTCGCAATCCGTCACAAAACAAAATTAATTTACGCACCCAAAATTCAAAAAATTTCGTCGAAAAACGAAACCAAATACATTGCGACGGAATTTTCCGTCGCAATCCGTCGCAATTTTTATTTTCCGTCGCAAATCATCTATTTTTTTGGTGTGACAGAATTATCTTTCGCAAACCGTAGCAAATTGCGACGGATTTTGCGACTGTTTGCGACGGATAATTTTTTTCCACATTATGTCGTAAAATCGTCACATTCCGTCGCAATTTTCGGTGCGACGGAAATTTCCGTCGCTATATGTAGGTTTTTTTGTAGTGATTCTAAGTCTGAAATCTCTGGTCCGCCTATACCGATCGGTCTAGGCATGGTCCGTCCGGTCTAGGGTTGTAGGCATCGCAAGGTAAGGACTGTCTGATCCAGATACCTCAGTCTGAACGGACTGATGATCTGGTCTGATCGGACCAAGATCAGTCTTCAGTCAATGCACCTCCAGACTGACCGGTCCAGGCTGGAGACATATTGGTCCAGACCCATTTTTCATCCTTTTGACCTTCGTCGCGAGATCAGACGAAAGCCGACGCAATCGACCCAGTTCAGATCCATGTTTGGTCCATCTAACCTTGTTTCCTACCAAAACCTCATGAAACTATAACAGAACCCATTTACGGTAAGTAAACCCTCGGAGCGAGCTGAATTGGTAATCCGGAATGGTCGGAACCCAATTTGATCGGATCGGAGGATAAAAGAATAAAATGAAGGTAATAAAGCATGGATATCAGAACAATAAGACGTGTGTATGCGTGATTAAAAGGAGGTCCATGCATGAATGCTTGTGATTGGGGATTTGGGTAGTTGACATGACGGGAGATAATACTTCGGAGGCCCGGAGTATTGTTGGGCGTGTGATTGTAGCCGGGTGTTGAGGTGATATTTCGATGATTGCTCTGTTTGGGACATCCTCTTTATGATCCTTGATCCGGGTCGAGTTTTATATTGGGGAGACATGATTGTGATTGAGCGCCTATGGGCGGAGCTTGGAGCCGATGATTCATGCAGTAGTCTTGAGTGATTCGGACTATCACAGGTTGAGGAAACTTTACGGTTACTCTGTAAACGTGCCGACGTTCCACATGCTATATGGGACAGGTTCGGGAGTGATTCCTGGTAGAGATTATCATACATTTACCCGTGACTCGAGATTGAGAGATTCTCCCGATGAGGTTATGTGAAAATACTCTGAAAGACCTGAGCTCGAGTCTGATGAGTTTTTCCGTGACAGATGGCCGGCGAGAGGTTGTCAGTTGATGATGACTTCGCTCGATATAGTCGGTGGCGTGGAGGAGACACCTGGCGCTCTGATATCGAGAGATGACATCGATATCAGAGAGGATGGTTGGTGTGATATGTTTTTATAAAGTGTTGGGCCTAGTTTGTTGCATTTTATTATTCCGGTTTCGACCAGGAGAGTGAGGGGATTGTGCGTTGCATATGGAGAGTTCTTACCTATGAGTGTGATGCACCCGTAGAAATGATTTGACGGTATCGGTATTACTGATAGACCCGATGGATCGAGCTATGACTTGTATATGTCCTGGACTGGTGATGCCAGATCCACATGCTATCCTATGTGTGCGATGCACATAGAGCCGATTTGACGGTTGATATCCGATGACTTGTCATCTAGACTGTTTGTGATTGTTATATGAATTACTAGTGGAATTAGAACTTGCTATATATATAACATGTTGTGGATATATGTATATTACGTGTATAAATATTGCTTTTGATTGACCATTTGCAATTTGAGTATGATCTTCGGATTTAACCCGAAATACTCACTAAGCATATAGCTTATGGACGTTGTTATGCAACATTTCAGACTTGGAGCAGCTTTGGTAGCAGCTGGACGAGGACACTGGTGGTGTGTGAGACTTTTACGGGATCATGTATATTTCCACTTTAGACGTACACTGTTTTCTTTTTCTCTGGATGGTGTGTATACTGACTTTGTATTATATCATATCCACCGTCTTATATTGTAGTTTGTATACGTCTACTATAGATATGGGTTTGCTATGTATATACATATTTCCGCTGCGTATGTTTAATATAAAAATATTTTTAAAATTTCCGTTCTTTTGATATGTGGTTACAATCGTCCATGTGATGCAAATTCATAAAAAAGAACCAAATTCTTGTTCCCAGAGCAGGACACGGGTTACGGACGTCACATATATATATCTATATATATGAATTCGAATGTGTGTATACATAAATATATATATGAATATTTACATATATATTCATACATGTAAATATATATGTGTATATATATGTATATATATGTATATATGTATGTGTGCATGTATATATAAATATTTATATGCATAAATATTTATATATGTATCTATATTAATGTTATATGATATCAGAAATTTAACTTGGAATAGTCGGATGATTATCAATTAAAACTCTAAAGTTAAGGAGGATTGTGTTGGAGTAGTGGGAGGATAGGTGACCTATTGGGAAGTAAG